CTCCCCGCAGGAATAAGACCAGCGCTGTTTGAAGCTACAGCTGCACACAGATCCACGGCACTGCTTTCACGATCCACGCTGTAAATATGTGACTGTTTTGTAATTCAGAGCAATATTGACACTGGCTCAGTGTCACCTGTGGAGCTGTGGAGCTCTGCGATTGTTGTGGAGGAAGCCTGGGATCTGTTAGCCTGGTCTTATCCATCTGTTAGCTCTGGTCCATGATCATTTCCTACATGTAGGTCTGGGTCTGATCCTAGAGGCTGCAGTTCCTGTGGGAGGTGGGGACCCCATTTTCTCAAAACATGTATGAAAATTGTGTCATATTTTTGTACTGATTTGTTCTGCAGAAATTGGAATATGTGCCGCTATCATATCAAGAATCAAGTTGCCTTGTGTATGAATTGTGCTATACAAATAAACTTGCCTTGCCTTGCCTTGCTATATTTAAAATATTTCTCTTTAGATGTTTAATTGTGTTTATGAGCCTTGCACCCCACGATTCTCCAAATCAACCCAGAATGGTCTCCTTTCACAGAGCTTTCACAGAGCTAACTCTGCTCTAATTTGTGCAGTTGAAATACATATTTATTTTGGATTTGGTTTTATATATATATGCTTTTTTGGATTTGGTTTTATATAAAACCATATAAATATAAACATATATATACTTTTTATATGCAACTTTTTACGGACTGAATCCATATTCAAGCTGAATCAATGAGCTCAAGATTGAAATTAAAAAACTGATTATTATACAATTTGTATGTAGTAATAATCATTTTTATGAACTCAATAAAATAAAATAGTTATAGCATCTTTAAAATATGATAGCGGCACATATTTCAATTTCTGCAGCATAAATTCAGCACTAAAAAATCACACCGTTTTTGTAGATGTTTTGAAACTTGAACTTCACACACGTAACTGTGATTCCAGTCCGACCAATCAGAGAGCGGGGGAGGCGGGTGCTGTAGGGAGGTGTCATGAGGTCAAGAGTTTGTGCTGAATTTGCTGGTTGTAGTTTGGTGGAGAATGTGAAAGTAAAATAATCTGTTCTGGTTCAATCCAAATATCAAGAAACTGAAGCCGGAGCAAGAGGAATGTTTAGTAAATGTCATTGATGCAAAGCTGTTGTGGCTCTACTCCCCACGGGCTCCATTAGCGGCCTAGGCTAAATGCTGACTAAAGCTAGGCTAAATGCTAAATGACTCACTCACTCGGGCTCATTACATACGTCACAGTAAACTCAGATCCAATTATTTCAATCTGCAAAAGGAGTTAACCCCTCCCACCTGTTAACGGAGTCAATGGAGCAAATCCAGACCGTAGAACTGAATGAAATGAGTCCAGGACAGTCCCGTGTGTGTTTGTAAAGAATATCTGAGCAGCTCCAGAAGTGCGTGCACAGAAGGGGAGGGGCCGAGCAGGAGGCCATGACACATTTAGCTTAATATCCTTTAAAAGCCCGTTCGTGGACGATCCTGGTCATTAAATGAGTTTGTGAGAGCGTGTGGAGAGGATGAAGGAGCTGTGGACGGAATCACTGCCATCGGAGACAGAGGCTGATTATAGACACGCTATTTTCTCATTAGCAGCAATTAGCAGCACGGCGTTCACCCAGACTGCAGCCCACGCACCAGAGCGGGCCGTGACATCACCTCCTCCTCCTGAACAGAACAATACAGGCACAATTTTAGATGTGTATGGATAAATGTATGTATTCAGTGTATGATGATGATGATGTCATTAGAAAACATGGGATTTGATTCTTCAGGCTGAGAGCTGATTGGCTGAGAGGGGGGGGTCCTCTCTTTGTCACTTTTCTGTCAGAAAAAGTTGTGAGAGAGCCCAGAAAAACATGTGAAAACTTCTGATATCACCCCTGGTCTCTCTCTCTTTATCTCTCTCTCTCTCTCTCTCTCACACACACACACACACACACACACACACACGCAACACACACAAATACACTTACACTCATATACACAGACAACACACACATATAAACCAAATCACCACACAGAACACATTTTTGGTCACACATATACACAAACACGCACATACATACACAAACAGACACACACACACCCACATAGACAAACACACCATACACACACACATGTACGCATATATACACAGACACACCACAGACTTACACACACACACATATACACAGACATACACAAAAATACATACACACACACCCACATAGATAAACACACCACACACATACAAACGCACATGCACGCACATATACACGCACACACACACACACGTATGCACACATATACACAGGCACACACAGACACTTACATCTCAGGTTGGATTCCACCTCCAGACAGGGCCTCTCTGTTTGGAGTTTGCATGTTCTCCCTGTGTCGGGTAGTCTCAGTGGGACTTCCTGGTGTCAGTGTGTGACGTGGAGCTGCATTCGTTTCTCTCGTCACAAACCTGAGCCAGCGCCACCATCTGTCCAACCCCTGTCACTACCACACACCTGTCCTGACTGCTTACACACAACTACAGCATCAGAGAGGCCAGAGGGAGACCAGAGAGAGACCAGAGGGAGACCAGAGAGAGACCAGAGGGAGACCAGAGAGAGACCAGAGAGGGACCAGAGGGAGACCAGAGAGAGAGACCAGCGAGAGACCAGAGAGAGACCAGAGAGAGACCAGAGAGAGACAAGAGAGAGACCAGAGGGAGACCAGAGAGAGACCAGAGGGAGACCAGAGAGAGACCAGAGGGAGACCAGAGAGAGACCAGAGAGAGAGACCAGAGAGAGACCAGAGAGAGACCAGAGAGAGACCAGAGAGAGAGACCAGAAAGAGAGAGAGAATAGAGAGACCAGAGAGAGACCAGAGAGAGAGAGAAGAAAGAGACTAGAGAGAGACCAGAGGGAGACCAGAGAGAAACGAGAGGGAGACCAGTGAGAGACCGGGGAGAGACCTAGAGAGAAAACACAGAGAGAGACCATGAGCGACCAGAGAAAGACCAGAGGGAGACCAGAGAGAGACCAGAGGGAGACCAGAGAGAGACCAGAAAGAGAGACCAGAGAGACCAGAGAGAGACCAGAGAGGGACCAGAGGGAGACCAGAGAGAGAGACCAGAGAGAGACCAGAGAGAGACCAGAGAGAGACCAGAGAGAGACAAGAGAGAGACCAGAGGGAGACCAGAGAGAGAGACCAGAGAGAAACCAGAGGGAGACCAGAGGGAGACCAGAGCGAGACCAGAGAGAGACCAGAGGGAGACCAGAGAGAGACCAGAGGGAGACCAGAGAGAGACCAGAGGGAGACCAGAGAGAGACCAGAGAGAGAGACCAGAGAGAGACCAGAGAGAGACCAGAGAGAGACCAGAGAGAGAGACCAGAAAGAGAGAGAGAATAGAGAGACCAGAGAGAGACCAGAGGGAGACCAGAGAGAGACCAGAGAGAGAGAGAAGAAAGAGACTAGAGAGAGACCAGAGGGAGACCAGAGAGAAACGAGAGGGAGACCAGTGAGAGACCGGGGAGAGACCTAGAGAGAAAACACAGAGAGAGACCATGAGCGACCAGAGAAAGACCAGAGGGAGACCAGAGAGAGACCAGAGGGAGACCAGAGAGAGACCAGAAAGAGAGACCAGAGAGAAGGGCCAGAGAGAGAGGAGAGAGACCAGAGAGAGAGAGAGAGAGAGACCAGAGAGCGAGACCAGCGAGAGACCAGAGAGGGTCCAAGGAGAGACCAGAGAGAGACCAGAGATAAAGACCAGAGAGAGAGAGCAGAGAGAGACCAGAAAGAGAGATCAGAGAGACAAGAGAGGGAGACTAGAGAGAGACTATGACTAGAGAGAGACACCAGAGAGGGAAACCAGAGAGGGAAACCAGAGAGAAACACTAGAGAGAGGGACTGGAGAGAGACCAGAGAGAGACCAAAGAGAGAGAGAGATCTGGTCCAAGTTACAGTAGATCCATGTCTTTGTGTTTATGTAAAAAACGGTGAACATTTTTCTCGTCACCTCCGGAGCCTTTAACGACCGACGAAGACAAATATGTTTCTGAAGAGCAGCTCGGTCTCTCTCACTTCACGACGCTCAAATTTTAATTGGATTTTTCTCCACGAGCTTCAAACCCGTTGCTCACGTAACATCACCCTGAAAACACCAGTTATTTTAAGACGTGAAAAAGAAAGTGAAAAATTGCGTTCAAATGTTGGAGTCTGAAATGCCATTAAAAATATAAAATACTTTGTCAGTTCATGTTTTAGAAAGTGAAATGATGGAGAAAACTTCAGTAGAAAATGTGAGGTGGAACGAACAAGGAGGGTAAACGATGCTATCGGCCTGCACCTCCCTGTGCGGCCACCAGGGGGAGTGGACACACAGAAAGTGACTGGCTGCAAACACACACGTGTGATTATAAAGGATGTCATTTCACTTGAAAAATGTATTGTTGTTCTAACAGGCAGAAAACTGCAGTGAGTATGGTCTCTCTCTTTAGAGTCTCTCTCTGTTCTCTCTTTCTGGACTATATCTGGTCTCTCTTAGTCTCTTTCCTTCTGTTCTTTCTCTGTCCCTCTGATTTCTCTCTCTGGCCTCACTCTCTCCCTCACTGTGGTCTCTCTGTCTGGTCCCTCCCTTGTCTCTCTTTCTCTCTGGTCTCTAACTCTGGTCTCTCTCTCTTGACTCTCTCTCGTCTATCTCTATCCCTCTGGTCTCTCTCTCTGTGGTCTCTCTCTCTCTGGCCTCTCTTTCTCGTCTAACTCGATCCCTCTGGTCTCTCTCCCTCTAAGCTCTCTCTCTGGTCTCTCTCTCTCTAGTCTCTCTCTCTCTGGTCTCTCTCTCTAGTTTCTCTCTCTTGTCTCTTTCAACACAAACCCACCTTGTGTTAGTTTGAGTATTTGCAGATGTTGACGCCAAAGTCCGTGAAAAAAACTGGATCCTTTTCTAAACATGACACCACCAATCTCCTGGAAATTCAATTACTGCTTCAGACACCTGCTCTCCTCCTGGTCACCTCCTCCTGGTCACCTCCTCCTGGTCACCTCCTCCTGCTCTCCTCCTGCTCTCCTCCTCCTGCTCTCCTCCTGCTCTCCTCCTGCTCTCCTCCTGCTCTCCTTCTGCTCTCCTCCTCCTGCTCTCCTCCTGCTCTCCTCGTCCTGCTCTCCTCCTGCTCTCCTCCTCCTGCTCTCCTCCTGCTCTCCTCCTGCTCTCCCTCCTGGTCTCCTCCTGCTCTCCTTCTGCTCTCCTCCTCCTGCTCTCCTCCTGCTCTCCTCCTCCTGCTCTCCTCCTGCTCTCCTCGTCCTGCTCTCCTCCTGCTCTCCTCCTCCTGCTCTCCTCCTGCTCTCCTCCTGCTCTCCTCCTGGTCTCCTCCTGCTCTCCTTCTGCTCTCCTCCTCCTGCTCTCCTCCTGCTCTCCTCCTCCTGCTCTCCTCCTGCTCTCCTCCTGCTCTCCTCCTGGTCCCCTCCTGCTCTCCTTCTGCTCTCGTCCTCCTGCTCTCCTCCTGCTCTCCTCCTGCTCTCCTCCTCCTGGTCTCCTTCTGCTCTCCTTCTGCTCTCCTCCTGGTCTCCTCCTCCTGCTCTCCTTCTGATCTCCTCCTCCTGATCTCCTCCTGGGGTCAGAACGCCACAGATTCTCATAAACGGCGATATCTGACAAGATGTGACAAGACAAAGTGTGAATAATTAGACTGAGGTGGTCAGCGGCGATGGGAGCTACAGAGCGGAAAATAGATCTGAGGAGGAGAGGGGGGAGGGGGGAGAGGAGGGACAGGGGGGCTCCTCCCTCCTTTTCCTCTCTCCTCTCTCTCCTCCTCTCTTCCCTCCTCTCTCCCCTCCTCCCTCCTCTCTCCCCTCATCTCCTTTCTCCCCTCCTCTCCCCTCTCTCTCTTTCCTCCTCTTCCCCTCCTCTCTCACCTCCTCATCTCTCTCCTCCCTCCTCTCTCCCTCTCATCTCTCCTGTCTCTCCTCCCTCCTCTCTCGCCTCTCTTCTCTCCCCTCCTCCCTCCTCCCTCCTCTCTCCCTCTCATCTCTCCTCTCTATCCTCCCTCCTCCTCTCTCTCCTCCCTCCCCTCCTCCCTCCTCCCTCCTCTCCTCCCTCCTCTCTCCCTCCTCTCTCTCTCTCTCCTCCCTCCTCCTCTCTCTCTCCCTCTCCTCCCTCCCTCCTCTCCTCCTCCTCTCCTCTCCTCCTCTCTCTCCTCTCCTCTCTCTCCTCCTCCTCCTCCTCTCTCCTCCTCTCTCCTCCTCCTCCTCCTCCTCCCTCCTCTCCTCCTCCTCTCCTCCCTCCTCTCTCCTCTCTCTCTCTCTCTCTCCTCCTCCTCCTCTCTCTCCTCCCTCCTCCTCTCTCCCCTCTCCTCCTCTCTCTCCTCCTCCTCTCCTCTCTCTCTCCTCTCCTCCCTCCTCCCTCCTCTCCTCCTCTCTCTCCCTCCTCCCTCCTCCCTCCTCTCCTCTCCTCCCTCCTCCTCCTCTCCCCCTCTCCTCCCTCCTCCCTCCTCTCCTCCCTCCTCTCCTCTCCTCCTCCTCTCCTCTCCTCTCTCCTCCCTCCTCTCCTCTCTCCTCTCCTCTCGCTCGCAGCTGTTTACTCAGTGTCTCAGTAATGGAAGCACAAACTCACTGTTTATTCCTCTCCACAAATGCATCTGTCAATCACCAGAGCCAGACACAGGAAGTTCATCAGGAGCGGTGACGATAACCGCCGCTGACGTTGGAGACTTCAAATGTGACAAAATGTCTCTGACTAAACACACTTTTCCTTTTCAGATTCTACCTGACGACGTGACAGTTTCATTCTGTTCACCGGAGACTCATGAATGAATGAAGTTTGTTTATTGAAGCGACAGCCCGGAGTCACACCAGAAAGATGCTGCACCAGATTTACCATCGTTCCACTTTGGAATGTTCTGGTTGTTGTTGTTGTTGTTGTTTTGTGTTTTACAATTGTTATTTTTATTGTTTTTTTCTGACTGAGATGTTGCTGCAGTTCAGTGTTCATGGTTTTACACTGGTCCAGACCAGAGCAGAGAGGATTCATGGTTTTACACTGGTCCAGACCAGAGCAGAGAGGATTCATGGTTTTACACTGGTCCAGACCAGAGCAGAGAGGATTCATGGTTTTACACTGGTCCAGACCAGAGCAGAGAGGATTCATGGTCCAAACTAAGTGGATCAGGTGAAAATCCACTGGAGGAATGCTAACTTTTTGAAAAATGCTAATGAAGCATTCAGGGCGACAGTGGCTCAGTTGGTAGAGCCTTTGAGCCCGAAGGTCGTGGGTTCGATCCCATCATGAGACCTTCTCCACCGACCCCCACTGACGTCTGCTGTTGTTGTGTCCTTGGGCAATACACTTCACTTAACCCCACTTTGCCTATAAGGAGTGCAGAGTGATGCTTCTTGCCTTAATGTGTGTGTGTATGCGTCAAACTGAAATTTCCCCATTGTGGGACGAATAAAGGACCTTCTTATTTTATGTTTTACTTTGGACCAGAGCAGAGAAAATAGTCTGAACCAAGCGGCTCCACCTCTGCTGCTCTATCTATCTATCTTTCAATCTATCTATCTATCATGCTATTTTCCATCCGTAGTCCTCTCACGGCACCACCTTCCGACACCAAAGTAAGCAAGTAATGTTTATCTATATAGATTATCTATATACCCACATTCGCTCCACATGGTGATGACGGAAAGTGGGAAACAATAGAATAAACAGCAGAAATGGATTAAGGGGAAGAAAACGGATTGATGTATGGATGGGTAACAACATAGTCGATTTACAGTTTTTCTGAGTGTCTTTGGTGCATTTCTCAGAACAATTAGTACAAACTGCAAAACCTCGTGGATAACCTGCAAAAGTCACTTTCTCAAAATGAAAAGTTAATTCCTCAAAAGCAAGTCTTCAGGTTGATGAAACTGTATGTGTCTCAGAATAATAAGTCCTGACAACATTGAGTATGAACAACAGTCACATGGTTTAGTCCTGTTTTCATTGTGACACTTTACTCTCTCTGTCAGATCTCGGAGACACTTGAGCACGACTATGAGCTCACTATACACGACCTGTACAGACATTTACAGTAAAAACTACAGTAAAGTTACACACAAACTATATTTAGAGAGGTAACTGACATGTATGTATGTACAGTATGTATGTGTGTATCTATGTACAGTATGTGTGTACAGTATGTATGTGTGAATGTGTGTACTGTATGTCTTTCACATATTTACTGCATGTGCTCTTTACAATTCTACAGCATTGTGCAACAAAAATACAGTCATTTACAGTATATACTTAGAACAAACATACAGAATATCATTTTGGTAGAACTGTGACAAATGTAAACAATACAGTTTTTCCCAGTGTCTTTGGTTCATTTCTCAGACTTAAAGGCAAGGCAAGGCAAGGCAAGTTTATTTGTATAGCACAATTCATACACAAGGCAACTCAAAGTGCTGAACAAGATAGCATTAAAATCATAAATAATCACAGAACATTAAAACAAAAGATACAAATATAAAATCCCTCACTTGTATGCACAGCTAAACAGCACCGTTTTTAACCTGGTTTTAAACATTGTCAGAGAGGAGGCCTGTCTCACATCTTCAGGAAGATTGTTCCAGATTTTAGCAGCATGAATCTGAAAAGCAGCCTCCCCATGTTTAGTTCTGACTCTGGGCACTAACAGGAGTCCAGTCCCTGTGCTCCTCAGAGTCCCAGCAGGAGTCCAGTCCCTGCTCCTCAGAGTCCGGGCTGGTTCATATGGGACTAACATGTCACTAATATATTTTGGTGCGAGGCCATGGAGAGACTTGTACACAAGCAGAGCTGTTTTAAAGTCTATTCTCTGAGCCACAGGAAGCCAGTGCAGGGACCTGAGGACTGGACTAATGTGGTCGTACTTCCTGGTTCTAGTCAGGACTCGAGCTGCTGCATTTTGAATGTACTGCAGCTGTTTTACAGCCTGTTTGGACAGACCTGTGAGCAGGCCATTGCAGTAGTCTAACCTACTGGAGACAAATGCATGGATAAGAATCTCCAAGTCTGCTTTAGACACTATGTTTTTGATCCTGGCAATGTTTTTTAGATGGTAAAAAGCTGCTGATGTTACTGATTTGATGTGGCTATTAAAATTTAAGTCTGAGTCCAGTATTACCCCTAGATTTCTGACCTTGTTTGAAGGTTTTAGGGAGAGAGACTGTAGGTGACAGATGACGCTCTCTCTTTGTTTCTGGGGACCAAAGACAATCATTTCAGTTTTGTCTGCGTTTAGCTGAAGGAAGTTGTTTTGCATCCACTCACTGATCTGTTGGATACAGTGAAGGAGTGAGTCCACTGGTCCATGTTCTCCTGCAGTCAGTGAGACATAGATCTGAGTGTCGTCTGCATAGTTGTGATAGGAAACTTCGTTTCTGCGTATTAACTGACCTATTGGCAGCATGTAGAGATTGAACAGAAGAGGTCCCAGGATCGACCCCTGTGGGACTCCACAGGTCAGGGCCATATGATCTGAGACACAGTTTCCAATCTCCACAAAGTACTTCCTGTCTTCAAGGTAAGACCTAAACCAACGGGCGGTGCCAGCGACGCCAACCCAGTCCTCTAGTCTCTGTAAGAGGATCTCATGGTCGCCGGTGTCAAAGGCAGCACTTAGATCTAACAAGATTAGGATTGAGACTTTGCCTGCGTCAGTGTTCAGCCGGATATCATTTGTAACCTTGACGAGAGCAGTCTCAGTGCTGTGGTGGGGTCTAAAGCCGGACTGAAACATATCAAATGAGTTGTTGATTATAAGAAATCTAGTAAGATGTAGGTAGACAACTTTTTCAAGGACTTTCCCCATAAATGGCAGATTTGAGATGGGACGATAGTTGTTAAGTACCGTAGCATCGAGACTGCTCTTTTTTAGCAGGGGCCTGATGACTGCAGTTTTCAGGGCCTCTGGGAATATTCCAGAATTAAGGGACATGTTTACTATCTGTGTGAGTGAAGGTAACAGACTGCTTAGAACAGACTTTAGAAATCTAGTGGGTAGTACATCCAGGCTGCACGTGGAGGAGCTCAAACTGGAGATTATCTCTTGGACAGTTTGATCATTTACAGGTGCAAAGTGAGTTAGCTCAAAGAGCCTTTCTGGCTGTTGGATTGCTATCTGTGGATTGGAGACAATGGCGTTTTTGATGCCTTGAACCTTGTCATTGAAAAAATGTGCAAACTCATTACATTTACGTTTGGAAGTTAGCTCTAATGGCATTTGAACAGGGGGGTTTGTTAATCTATTAACTGTTGAAAACAGAACACGCAGATTGTTGCTGCAGCCTTCAATCATTTCAGAAAAATACCTTTCTCTCGTACTACGTAGCACCCGGTTAAACTCGCACAACTTATCTTTGAAGATCTTGTAATCAACCTGGAGGTTGGACTTGCGCCACTTCCGCTCGGCCCTCCGGCACTCTCTCTTTTGTGCCCTGACCGAGTCTGCTTTAGCCCACGGCGCCTTCTGCTTATTTTTCACTATTTTAACCTTCACAGGAGCGATGGTGTCCAGAACTTTCAAAACACTAGAGGTGACGGAGTTAAACAGTTCATCTATAGTAGAATACGATGCATTCTCAAAGTTTATCATTCCCATAAATAGTTCACCCGT